AACCAGGTTTACCAGCACCCAAAGAGGCCCGTGTATGGCTCCAGGGGCTGCAAAATGGGACAGAAGTTCCTGAACTAGGGTTTCCCCCTTCTCCGCCCACTCTCCACCTCCTCCTTTGCTTAGACTCCCGACTGGGTTCGGGGGCTTCTATCCCTCATGCCCCACTTTGCAACTTCCAGAGCCCCACATGGAGCTTTTCAGGGTGCTGGGTAACCTGGTTCTTGGGGATTCCCCCCCCCCCCAAAAAAAATACCGACCAACCATCTCTCCAGATCTTGCGGCTTTTTCGGGGGTTTCTTTAAAAAAACACCTCTCCAGACGATCTTGAAAACCTGCAAGGTTGCTTTGGGAGGGGGCAGATGGGCAGCATCCCCCCCCCCCCCCGCGCACATACACAAACACACACACGCCTAATCCCCCAACCTGCCGCCCGCTGCATTCCGAGAGCGCAGCTTGCTCGGGGCGGCCCCGCTTTAACTGCCTCCTAAGTTGACGGCGTGGAAACTCTCGCGTGCAGAGACCTCTTCCATCCTCCGCAGGGAAAATAAAAAGAGGGGGAAAGCTTTCCGCCGCCCGCTCCCCTCCAAACCCCGAATTGCTCTGTTCGTGCGCGCGGACGGAGTGGTGGAGAGCAGCGCATCAGTTGGGTCAATTCCTTCCCCTGGTCGGCGACGAAGGGGAAAAGAACAGCGAGCGCACCAGCTCTAGCCCAATTTCATCCTACCCACGCTAGAGATGAAGGTTTACCTGGAGTAGCCCGAGAACAGCAGGCGCACCTCCAAGCGAAAAGAGCCCGGCGCGACTGAAGGGAAGGAGACGTCAGAGTTGAGGCGCTTTTGCTCTCGAAAGAAAAACGTCCTCGAGGAAAGCAACGCGAAGCCTGCGGGAGCGTTGGGAAGGGCGGCGAGGGGAGATCATGAAGGGGTGGTCGTGGCCTGAATTGAGAAAAGGAGGGAGAAGGGATGGAAGGAAGGAGGGGGAGAGACCAAAGAAAAGAGAAACAAACAAACAATCCGGGGGGGGGGAGAGAAAGAAAGAAAAAGAAAGGCGGAAAAGAAGGACAAGGCAGCGGCAGCTTCAGTCGCAATCCAGGCGCGAAGAGGTGTGTAAATGCTGCTTTGCTGAATTCCTGCCCTATTTCTGCTGTCTGGACCAGCGCTGCGTGACGTCACCGGCGCATTTGCATATTCTACCCAATCGCTGACACCTGTGCGGACATCGGAGAAATGCCGAGGGCGAGGGAAAAGGGCGGGAGTCCCAGGCAGATGGGAAGATGGGGAGTCGGGAGAAGAGGCTCGGTTGGCCAAGGGCAAACAGGCGGCGGCGGTGGTGGCGCCAGCTTTCCAAAGGGCCCCAGCTGGGGATTGCGTGACTCGTGACACCTGGCTCTGGGCCTTTCCAAAGGGCGAGCTTGCTTTAAAAAAAACCTGCCTCAGAGGTGGACGCTAGTAGGAAAGGCCAGGGAAAGTTGTTGTTGTTGTTGTTGTTGTTTTACTTTCCTTCCCGCGTCTTATCCTAGCTAACGGCGGGCTCCAACCTAGGTAATAAGTAGGCAGCTGCAGGGGTTCAGACCTTGAGAGAGAAAGAGCAGTGCCAGCTCCCTCAGATGTGGACTGACTGCCTCTCCGAGACCAGGGGAGCCAGCTGTTGCTGCATAGCTCCCTCTGTGTTAACAGCCGTCCCCTGTGATTTCAATGAGTTTAATGACAGCATAATCAAAATGCATCCTTATTAAACTGGGCTTTACAGTATTTAATAAATCATTGTAGAATTACAGGATGTGATATATTTACAAGTCAGTGTTGACTCCTGGCAACTGCCTTGATTAGTAGTCCCTGTGGTTTTCTTGACAAATTTCTCAGAAGTGGTTTGTTGTCTCCTTCCTAAAGGAGAGAAAGAAAGCAACTGGCCCAAGGTCAACCAACTGGCTTTGTTGCTAAGGTAGGACTAGAAGAAATTGCCCAGCTTCCAATTTCTAGCCTAGTGCAACTTAACCCCTACGCCAAACTGTTTCTCAGAACATACTAAGCCTAGTTTAAATACCAAATTTGGAAAAAGAAAAACAGTTATAGAAGTTTTTGAAATGTTTTAAAGGAAAGAGATTTTTGGTTTTGTGTTGGTGTGGGGGAGTTATGGAGACCATTTGAGAGGTCAGGGTGATGGCTGTCAAACCTCCTCAGCAATGAAAAGCTATCGGAAAGGGGCAATTGCCCTTTCTCTTGATTGATTAATTGCTTCTTTTTTTTCTGGGCAATAAAAGACTGGACCTGATAGACTCATAATAGCTGAATTATCCAGCAAAAGAAATGGAGTTAAAGTACTAGAAGACCAGGCTGAAAACCTCATAATCAGGGTAACCTTGCAGGTTAGGGACTGCAAACTGAAGACAGGACAGCAGCAGCAAGCAAAAGAATTGCAAAAAGCAAAAATTCATGGGAAAACATGCATGTTTTTATTTATTTTTACGGAGAACTCAAAGCAGTGAATATATCCAATGCAACCTCCTCCTCCTGTTTTCTCCACAACAACCACTCTGTGGGATGGATTGGGCTAAAAGAGAATGACTGGCCCAAAGTCACACAGTTGGCTTTCATGATTGAGGCGAGACTTGAACTCCGTCTCTTGTTTTCTAGCCTGGTGCCTTGACCACTGGACCAAACTGGCTAATAAAACTCTCTTCTTGCAGAAGTTTTAGTGAAGATGTAAACAGTTTCATTTATTTTCTTCATTGAATTCATAAATTGAAAAATACAGAGTTGAAGCAACATTTGTTAGATGTAACTTATTAAAAGGAAAACTAACACACTGGCGTTACTCAAAACAAAATGAAATAGTAAACATCCAAATATGTAGCAGGATTAGATAGCATTGTTTTGAGATAGATGTAGTTGAAGGTATACTTTTATGACTTCTAGAAAACTAATATTAAAGTAAATAAAGCAAATTTTCTCAATGTTTGGTAGTATACTCCTTTTGTCCTTTAGCACCAGGGTGGACCCATAGTCCCATCCTATTCACTATAAGTTTAAGGTCAACTGATGCTCTAAACTCAGCTCAGCTGGTCCTTTCACCTTCTCTATTGTTCATGTCTACTGCCAAAACATTAAAGCTCAACAAACTAAAGGCAAGTGTGGTACTGAAAAAGTTAAGGGCATGATAGCCAGGGGCAGTGGTGAAATTCAATTTTTTTACTACCGATTCTGTGGGTGTGGTTTGGTGGGTGTGACAGGGGATGGATACTTCCAAATCCCCATTCCCACCCCACTCTGGGGTCAGCCAGAGGTGGTATTTGCCAGTTCTCTGGACTACTAAAAATGTTTGCTACCGGTTCTCCAGAACCTGTAAGAATCTGCTGAATATCACTCCTGGTGGGGGGAAGACTCTGTGTTGGCCCCTTTCCCTTGGTGCCCTAAGCAGGTGCTTATTTTGCTTAATGGTTAATCCAGAGCTGATCCTATTATTAACAGGGAGCGGCTGAGCAAGGAATTTCAACTGGAGAGAGCAGCTGTTAACTTGTCATACTCATTTGAGTGTGAAATCTCTTGTTAGATGGAATGGAGTGGAGCCAATCCCTAGCCAAATTGCCTATCACTCAGAAAGAGAGAGGACAACTGAGAAAGCAGGGGAGAAGTGCTGCTTCTTTTCTGTTGAGTTATGTCTTGATTGCTACGCAACGAAAGAGATTGGACACCTACAGGGAACACATGTTGATACGGTTGGCCCTTGCAATCTCCACTTGGAAATATATCATATATGAGCAGACAAGAAACTTACCAGTACAACATGGAGGCCTGGGATCATTGAATTACATTTTCAAGGGATTCTCATACTCAGAACTCATTTTAATTTCCACTCATTTTAATTTAGAATGTAAACAAATACATCAAATGTTTAAAAAGTGCTAAAGTAGGAACATTAGGTTTAGAATATTATCATTAGCATTTGGATAATGAAATTAAGTGATAAGATATAGATATGATGGTGGTGATATAATAAATAAAGTGTACAGCAGTTTATATATCAATCTAACCCTATTCATTGTAGTTGAATAATTATATGGAGAATTGCTGTAAGTATTTATGTTTGAAAAGTATCATTCCAATATCTCATGCAGTATATGAAGTCATTCAACAATATGATTTCAATGTTTTCAGAACAACTGCTGCTTAGGAAATTACAGCATAATTTTATATAAACCATCCTGGAAATTGTGTTGCTGAGAGGTATATAAATCTTTTAAGTAAATACATAAATGTTTACTCAGGAACAAATCCCATTAAGGTCAATGGCATGTATGCCCCAATAAATCAGCTTTAGATTGCATTTAAATTAGAAATATGGTGGTTTGAAAACTCCAACTCAGCTTAAAGAAGCATTATCTCTTATAATAGAGATGGCTATTAGATAAAATCTATATTGATTAATGCTCAGCATACAGAAGACAAATAGTTTTCAAAAGCAGGAAGGATGTGATAGAAAACATATTTTTTAGAAACCCTGGAACTGAATACAGGAAAATTTTAAACAAAACTTTTTTACTGGGTACAAGTAAATCCAAGTACTACACTATTGCTAATTAATTAAGAACGTCTCTTTTCTTGAAAATTATAGCTGTAAAATTTTAGTCATCTATACCATGACTGTATTGATTGATTGTATTATATTCTTAAGAATTTTTTTTAAAGTAAATAATAATGATTCTTAAACATATTCCTAGAAATACTCAACAACCTGAATTTTGGCAGCACATACTATTTTGAAATCAAGAGTTGATTTATGTAGAAGAAGTGATCAAATATATTTGATACTGAATCCTTAACTGATAAGAATGTTGATTTCAACTAAATAATGCAGGAATTTTCAAGTGTATTTGGCAAACTCTAATAGAATGAATAGTAGTTCTTTTTATTATTAGACAACTTTATATTAATATATGTATGTTTTATACAAAGATCACAAAAAAGCACAAAAAAGAACACTTCACAATGAGTAGCATTAGTTTTTTGTGATAATTTTGTTTAAAAATGACAATTAGAAAAAATATAAACTAATACAAACTACAAAAATAAATAAAAAATAAATAGGGTAGAAAAGAAAAAACATAAAAAATAACTTCCTTTTTTATCACAAGTATAAACAATTTCTGTATCTTATCACTTCTCTTCATCCCATATATGTAATGAGATGGTGGATAACCTAAAGAATGAAGGAAAGAAATGTTGCCCAGGAAACAATTGGACAAGAAGGCAGGCGCCCCCAGTGGATTAATGGTCAGAGAAAGAAACTTAGAATTGATCAAGCAATTAAAAGTGGTAGCAGGAATTACGATTTTCAGACATGCAAGATTCTGTTAATGTATCTATATAATTAAGTAGAATCAGCTCGTCTAGTATTTTCTGTTTACCTGGAAGGGCTGACATTATCTCACTAGGTAATCTATTGCTATTTATTCCTTATTAACAAAAGCCTATTAAGAGTTACCAAAATATTTATATATCTATTTTAGCCTTGACCAAATAAATCAACTCTATATTTCTTCCCCATACTTTTAGCAATTGGTTTTTAGTCCCTTCAAATAATGTCCTAGAACTTGATTTCATTTTATTTTTGCTTCCTCTCAGAGAATTCTTCAACACTTTTAAAGATCTGGTTTGTACAGCCAGTAAGAAAAGTTTATCCAAATCACTCTTGGCTTGATACTTGAATGTCCCCTTTAAGTATTAAAGCACCAACCAATTTCATTTGTATAGCCAGTATATAATCTTTCCCCATATCATTCTCGTCATATTTAAATCCATATTCAAATGACTTATGCTGTATAGCTGATTATTCTTCTGTGACATTATTAACACACTCTTTGTGTTAATAATGATACTAAGTATAATATAATATAATATAATATAATATAATATAATATAATATAATATAATATAATAT